CTCCAGTATTGCTCTCTAGTTTCCGCACTATCCCAGGTGGCATCTCCTGTCGTTTGCAGCCACCGCTTGAAAGGAACACTGCTTTCGTCATTCTAGACATGTAGGTTCAGGCTCAACGTGGGTTCATAGCATGTCTTAATTTGATAATTGTGTATGTGCATGTCGATGGTTGCTTCCGTGTGTATTGTGGGTGTGTGGTGATGGGGCGTTGGGGGACACGTACGCTGTATGCTTGCAGGAGGGAGACGACGCGTTTCCTGTCTTTGCTGCGGAGAGAGATGCAATCCTCTCCTCACTCGCTCGTCGTGCCAAGGTCTGTCCCGCACTCCACGACTTGGTATTCATACTTTGTTGTTTCAAGTCAATTGTGCTTCGGTCACGATGCTATCAGCACTTTCACTAGCTTTGTTCAATAGCACTTTGTTTGATGTGCTCGCTGCTCAGCACTCGCATAGGAGATTCTTGCAGCCCCTCTGAATGTGCCGTACGCCTTTCCCAGGCTGCCCTTCCCGATGCCATCAGGTTTCTCACCTCTTGCCGTTGTCATCTTGTCCTGCCTCACACCCAACCCCCAACTATTCCAGCTGCTGGTTGATGTGCTCAACTCACTACCAGGCATCACCTGCAACCCGTCTGAAGGCGCCATGTACGCCTTCCCCAGGCTGCACCTCCCCCCACGAGCAGTGGAAGCGGCAGCAGCAGTGGGCATGCTGGCAGACACTTTCTACGCCCGGCGGTTACTTGACGCCACAGGGATTGTCGTGGTCCCGGGATCAGGATTTGGGCAGGAGCCTGGGACATGGCATGTGCGGTTTACGATTTTGCCAAGTGAAGAGAAAATCTCGGGGATGATGGAGCGGTTCGCCGAGTTTCATGATAGATTCATGCGTGAGTTTACTGTTTGAGGGGAGTAGCAAAGCAAATGGAAAGGAAGGACGGTAACTGCTGTTTGGCATCTAGTTTGGTCACAGCAGATCTAAAAGACAGGAGCATGATCTTCAAATCCCCCAGTGTTGTGATTCATGTAAAGCATCATGACTTTCGCTACTCCACTATCACATCCCACAAAATGGTTGATGGAGGTTTTCCAAGAACGTAGTTGCCCACTTGTATGCTTTGTGTCTTCAAGTTTATTTTCCTGAGAAAATCCGTATCGGGGACATATACTTTCATTCTTCGCAGTGAAGCTCCCTATGCACACTGACAAGAGCAAAGTCAAATGTGCGTCTGGCTTTCGTTCTACGGGCCTGAATGTTTGCTGCAAGCACTCGCGTATCACATCAGTGGAACATCCACATACGCACGCGATTGTCTGTTTGTGACGCTCTGTTAGTTCCAACGTCCCCGCGACCGTCCGCCGCCTTCATCATGGCATGTTGCGAAATTCGCTGGAATCCACAACCTCTTGGGCTCGGCTTGAGATCGACGAGAAGGATGGGTCAGAAGAACGTAGTAGTGTTACCCCTCGCTAAGCGTTCTACAGAGGCATGTAAAGAACGTGGTTTTCTTCTTCTGCTTGCGTGCTACGCGTCCAGTCATCCATGTTTAGGTATTTTCTCTGCCGCTTCAGTCGACAGACCACTGTGAGTTGACGGTTCTCGTGCTCCTTTATCCGCGGTTGCTCGTGTGTGCTCCAGAACCAGCGGATGCGAAAGTTAACAACGCGTTCTGCCGCGTCGGACGAGTGGAGTTTCACGCGTCCAGACGAGGCTGACAGGTCCAAGGAATTCGCGGCAAGACTCGAGCAAGCCTGGAGCATAAGAAAGGTGCATCGTCCTTCTTTCGCTTACACATCTATGTAAACTTCTTTTTTTCTTACGCACCACTGTTTTATGTGCATTTTCATGCACCGATAGCATCCTGACTAATGCTCTCCATTCTGTAAACCATCGTGTCTCTTTTCCATTTCTCGTTAATAAGCAGAACCAGGGTCCCGTCGCGTGCGAGGAGTGCATGGCGCAGGGCTGTATAGAGTGCAGGTGGTGTCGTGGGACCGGCTACTTCATTGTGGGAGACAGGCTGCTATGCTCGGTATCCTCACGGAGTAGTACTTGCGTTATCTGCGGCGGGAAGGTGAGTCTACTTCTTGCAAGAGCATTGTGAGAAGGGATCTACGGAATTATCCGTTCTTTTTTCTCCACTTGTTGGCGATTGTCGTTCTAATATGTGTCTTTTGTGGCACACCTATGCAGGGTACTGTCCGTTGCCTGGACTGTGCTGGTACTGGTTTCAGGGCTCGTTGGCTTAAAAGACCTACCCCAGGGAAACAACCATCAGGTTGAACATTTTTTGTCTCTTCCTGGCTAAGTGGTTCGAGATGTTGGTTGGCACCTACCGTAAGTGGTCTGACTGCGTTCAGTGGCATCAGTTTCATTGTTTAGTTTGATTTGAGGGGCCTTTGATTAGAGTGGGCCACACCATGTGCCATTAGAGGCACATCTTGTACATATACCGTATTACAGGAATGCCTAAATTTATGGATTTGTTACATTGTGGCTCACGCAAATTCGCCAACTCTTTGTTACCTTCGCCAAGCATTGAGGCATCCAGAAAGGTCCGCTTGGCTGGCTCAACGATTCGATTCTTTCCGCGTTCTTTCTAACGGAGTTGATTGTGACGATTGCATGTCGCTAACGTTTTCCGTCATCTTACCCCGTTCTTGGCAAGGTTGGTTGGGTTGCTGTGCTGCATCCCCTCAACGCCTTCTTGCCTCAAAACCACTCACCCACCCACACGCCTGTTACCACCCACCCCGCAGAACTCCTCTCCTACAGCCCTAAAACTGCTTCTGCTGCTTTCTAGCCTCGGAACCTAGCATGGTGCTATGAGGTTGCTCTAATAATGTTCTAGGGTTGTCCTACTGTGGTGCAGACCTGTTTAGTGTGTCGTGTCGGTAGTACAGGCTGATATTCAGATTGGTCTGGTGGTGAAAAAGCTTTTTGTTTTCCGTGTGCGGAACTATGGAGCGATATGAGATCCTCAAGGATATTGGGTCGGGAAATTTCGGGATTGCGAAGTTAATGCGAGATAAGAGAACCAAGGAGATGGTGGCGGTGAAGTTCATTGAGCGTGGCGACAAGGCACGTCCATATTCGTTCCGTCCATTTTTCCTCCAACCGAGCTGGAATCGCGCGATTCATTTCGGTTGACGAGTCTTTGATTTTTCCAAAAGGGTTGCCTGATGTTCGCAGATCGACGAGAATGTTCAGCGTGAAATCATTAACCATCGCTCTCTTAGGCATCCTAACATCATCCGATTCCGTGAGGTGCGTCGCTCATCTTCCCTCTGCTCCTCGGCTGCTTTAGGTTTCTCGTGTGGTTGTGCAGCTAGTGACCGTTGGAAGTTTTGTTTTTGTTGTTATTTTCCAGGTTTGCCTCACTCCTCAGCATTTGGCCATTATAATGGAATATGCGGCCGGTGGTGAGCTATTCGAGCGAATCTGCAACGCTGGTCGTTTCAGCGAAGACGAGGTTCGTGTTGCACGCATTTTTGTCATCCATCTTCCTTCTCAATGGCGCTTGGGATGCAGTTTTTGACGCATTCTGTTCTGTCTTTCAGGCTCGATTTTTCTTTCAACAATTGGTCGCTGGCATCAGCTACTGTCACTCCATGGTAAGAATAACGCGCGTAATCTGTTTTGCATAGATTAATGGTCGCATACTAATATATGAACCCTTCTCGTTTGCAGCAAATTTGCCATCGTGATCTGAAGCTTGAAAACACTCTTTTGGATGGAAGTCCTGCACCTCGTCTGAAGATTTGCGATTTCGGTTACTCAAAGGTATTGTGTGGAATAGAGGCTGGAGATGTAGCATTGTGAACCAGCACTAAGTATCCCCTCTTTCTACTTTTCAGTCCTCCTTGCTTCATTCACAACCGAAATCCACCGTGGGCACTCCAGCCTACATTGCACCTGAAGTTCTTTCCAAGAAGGAGTATGATGGAAAGGTAAGCAAGTTGTGTTGTGACTGAATTCTGCAAAAGCATTACGTAATGCTTCTTTCCTCGTCTGACTTAAGTGTTTTCCATGTGGCAGACTGCTGATGTGTGGTCTTGTGGAGTCACACTATACGTCATGCTTGTAGGGGCTTATCCATTTGAGGACCCTGATGACCCACGAAACTTCAGGAAAACCATTGGTGTATGTTTTCATTGCCTCTTTGCGGCTGTTTCGGCTCTTTCCCCACGCCCTCAGCATTCATGACTGTTTGCCTCTTCTGTTGCCTTGCTTACAGCGCATTATGAGTGTCCAGTATCACGTTCCACCGTATGTGCGCCTCTCTCCGGAATGCAAGCATCTTTTGTCAAGAATCTTCACAGCAAACCCTACAAAGGTGAGTTTTAGTATTCAGCTGGGAGTTAGTCTTGGTTGTTTACAAATGGATTTAACTCTCACCGTCCTGTACCCCCCCACTCCCACCCCCATCTCCCCCCTTGCCCGCAGCGCATCACAATGCCGGAAATCAAGAGGCACCCTTGGTTCTTGCGGAACCTGCCAGCAGATCTGATGCATGAAAATGACCCGGGTTACCAGTACGATGATCCTAACCACCCGCCTCAAAGTATCGAAGAGATCATGAGGATATTGCAGGAAGCTCGGGTTCCAGGCATTGCTCAGCCTTCCGGCGATGGATACCTCAACGATGACAGGGATGACGAGAGGGATGATGAGGACATGGACAATGACATGGATGACTTTGAGGGCAGTGGAGAGTTTGTTAATGCTCTCTAAGAGACATGGTCGTTTTATTCCATTTTCTTGGCAGCACAGCATGAGTGGGCTGGCAATTGTTGCTCCTTGTGTTGCAGTTCTTGCTAGTTGTAGTACAAAATTTAGCTTGACTCTGGCCACTAGTTTTTTGTGCCAGTTTGCAGTTTAAGACATTGCTGACAACAGATTGATGTACAGGTGGAATAACCTTTATTCAAGAAGCATTCATGAGGCACTTAAGAAACATACCGTAATGTAAATATACAGTGAGCAAAGTATGTGCACAGTTCAGCCACCTCCACTGGTGGTTTTCAACTGAATGGCTGCGAGTTCCTCCTCCACAAACTCTCCAGCAGGCTTGGGTGGAAAACTAGGCGCCAGCTTGCTAGTTGCAAAGTGGCCAATGGGCGTGAGGACCTCATCCGACGCAATGTGCGCAAACACCTGCAGAAGAAAGGAAAACATAACGACACCAGAAGGTGCATGATCAGGCAATCCTGTCACAGGACAACTGATTCTTTCCCATCTCCTTCTCCCTTACCACCACCAGCACCACACCTGCCGCATAATCTTCGAAACACAATGCAGTGAGCATTAGTCCTCCCACGTACCGTACTGGAGACACGCCAGAGGCTGCATCCCTGCTGCTGTGCTCTCTGCACCGCCGCCACTGTGCCCTCATCCACCACCACCTCATGCATGCCCGCCGATACCTCTCCTCCCGTCAGCCACTCCATCTGCCATGTTACACCATCACACACATGCCATGCCAGGAGGACGATGCAGGGAGGTTGAGCAAAAAATATGTCATGTTCTCAAGAGAGCAATGGCACAGTGCATCACATGCGCACAATGCGGGTGCTACTACTGGTGCAGAATGTCGAATCAGACCACCAGATTCAAGGCAAAGCCATACTGTGTGACACCAAGGGTCATACAACAGCACCAAAATCAATGCAGACAACATTCCCCTGGACTCACCTGTTTCCCTGCTTGCAGAAGCAGGCAGTCGTCAGGCACCGAGACACGGCAGCAGGTGCCATCCCTCAGCCAGATGCGGAGGCCGGGGAATCTGCACCGTCCGTGGATGGTGAGGAAGTTGAGATCTGCATGATACCCCGCCAGGACTGTTCCAGGGGAGCCGTGCTCTCCCAGGTCGCTGCCTGTGGGGGCGAGGAGGTGTGGGCCCTGGGGATGGGGAGGAGAAGGGATGGAAAATGGCTGAATTTTGAGTCAGCTCAACAGTGCATGGTGAGGGTTGAGATCTGCTCTGCATGATACCCTGCCAGGACCGTCCCAGGTGAGCCTTGCTCTCCCAGGTCGCTGCCTGTGGGTGTGGGCCCTGAGAAGGAGTGGCGAAAGGGGCAGCAGGACAAAAGGACGGGGGAACAGCAGTGGGGAGGTGGGCCAGGGAAAGGATGGAGTGCAAGTGAGAAGGGGGGATTGGGGCAGCGGGAGGATAGCGGTAAAAGACCATGGGTGCAACAGGACAGAATTAAATAGGTGACGAGAACAGCAATGGTGGGTGGGGTCAATAGTGGGCGGAGAGATAGAGCAGCAACGCGAAGAGGTTCGTACAATATGCATGCGGGAGGTGCAACGACAAGAGGGTTCGTACCATGTGCATGCGAGTGGTGAATGAGTCCTGTGGCAGATCAAATCCAATTGCCAGCATCTCCGCCACAGCCTGCCAACCCACACACACATGCATCCCATGTCAACACGTGGCACTTTCAGAGTCATATATAATTCCACCTATCCAAAACCTGGTTATTACAGAGCAGCAATCTTTAACTGGAAATATGCAACGAACTGCAACCCAACCACTCCGTGTCCTACCTCCCCACCTCCCCCCATTACCTTGCCCTTGCCCTCCTTTGTATCCCCTTAGGCTTTCTCTCTCCACCTCGCCCGCCTCTCTCACCTCCACGGCAGCCGTCATTTTACATCCCCACCCATCCATCACCGACGCCCACTGAGGGAACCCCTCCGGCACCACTGGACTCGCGTTCAGCTCCTGTTACACGCACATCCGATATGTGCACATTAGATATCAGAACATCGAATACAAGCGCATCACATTCAAGCGGGGTGCAAACATGGGATGTCAAATGGGAGGCGCGGAGGCAACAGCTATCCGCGTAATTGTTATCTGGTGCGCGCGGGGCGACTTCTAAGGCGCTTCAAAAGCCACCAGATGTGAGGGCCTCACAAGGTGTCTGGTGCCGGGGAAGGGGAAGGGCCATCAATCAACCCTCACCTGATATCTGGTGCGCGTGGGACCTCCCCCACTCTCCTCTGCTCTCACCTGATATCTGGTGTGCGCTGGGCGGGGACCGACGCGCCACATGAAGCGCCACTTGCAGTCGGGCCCGGAGGGCGCGTGGGGGCGGCTGTCCGCGGGGAGCTGCGCCATGCGCGCCTTCACCGCGTCGTCCAGCGCGCTCTGCGGCATCTCCACGCCCTCGGGGGTCACTCCCACCTGCGCGGGGGAAGGAGGGGGAAGAGGGGCAGGGGTCCCCAAGCGAGCGAACGGGGTGGGGGATTGGGAGCGGAGGTGCGGGGACGGCGGGCACACAGGAAACAGAGGGCAGAGAGATGCGGGTGTCAGGGGAAGCACACCGCTGTGCGCGCGGAGCTGCGCCATGCGCGCCTTCACCGCCTCGTCCAGCGCGCTCTGCGGCATCTCCACGCCCTCGGGGGGTACAGCCTCTTTCAACTGCAATCGTACGTATTTGGCGAAGGCGAAATGTTAGCACCGCTTTGGACCGACAAATAGATTGCACGGAGCCTTATCAGTCTTACCTCGTGACCTTATCATCATCAGTTTTACCTGGTAGTGCAGCTCCGGCCGTGAGTGCGCGAGCTTCGTCGCCTTGGGCTGCGCGAAGTACGACTCCATCATGTCCAGAAACCGGTCGTTGTCCGCCTGCGCGCACCGCGGGTCGCGCACGATCAGCGCGCTTGTTGCGCGCAAACACTCCGCCATCGCGCGGCATGTTTCCGCCACGGACGCGGGGAGCACCGCGGCGGCCGTCTGCCCTGCGGCATTTTCAGCTTGCTCGGGACGCACAGCCTCTTTCAGCTGCAGAAACTCCGTCAAATCGAACGGCTGAAGGGACGCCATCTGGGCCGTTAGACGGACAGAAGCAGCAGCAGCAGCGGCGTGTTCGACGCGCTGCTTGTTCCGTATGATGCACTGGCCGGCGCCGCAGCCTGTGTGTGTGTTTTCCGCGCTCGAACAAAATAATACAACTGGGTCAATCCCGCGGCCCGGCTCTGCTTCGCTACGGAGAAACTGCACAAAGGGCCGCTCCCAGGTTCTAACGCGAGGGGGAATGCGGTTTTCGGGTTCTGAACGCAGAAACGAACGCTCAGGTGCGATTGTATAAGACAGATATTTACAGGTATAGGATAGCCCGCTTAGCCGTGAGCCAGAGTGACGGACGACAGTGAACCTGGAACTGTCACGGAGAGCGAAAAAAACGGCACTTGCACGCGTCTGGGGAAGCGGGAAATACGGGTGAGCCGCGGAACCAAACATCAAGCCTCCGGACTTGATGTCTCCATGGCGGACGGAAATCCTTTTTCCAAATGCGCTTTGGAGCTTCTGTTTGGGTTTGGCTCGGTTTGGCGAAAAAACAGGAAGATCTGTTGTGGCATTTGGTTTGAATGCTCAAACTGTTGCGTGACTCGTTAGAGAGTGTCTCGATAGCCCACTGGGTGTTTGTTAGCGTGAAGGTGACGACCATCTCCACCCTGCAAAAAAAATGTTGTTTTTGTGCAGCTTTTTGTACAGGTGTTGTGTGGCCCTGTCGCGACTCGCGAATCTAATTTATTCGTGAAGATGGGATACCTGCCATGGTTTTCGCTACGTAGTAATCCATGCGGAAAAAGTGGATCCGTTGGCCGCTGAGCTCTGCCATTACTGACAGAAACCAAGTCGGGCATGGATGACCATACATGGTTGACCATTTTAGGAGGCGACAAATCCGGATAAAAAAGTGGTTCCTTCATACTGTGTTATCGTGCTCTGCTGCATGCACGCATACGTTTTCCGCATCTCGCGTTAGTACGCATTCGCGAGCACTCTCTTCGCATTCGCATTAGCCTTCTCCACTGAACTGGAATTTCCTGGATGAGACGATATTGAGGTTCGCGTATGTCCTTTACCCTCGTCAAAGCGAAACGTCCTCGCATCGCAGTCGACAAAATGGACTCTCTGCAATCCGGATACCCTGCTCTGGGCCTCGATCCTTCCGTAACTCACGCCATCTCTACATCATGGTGGAATCTGGACCGTTCATTGAACGCTTTGATCGAGGGAATCAACGGCCGGATTAGCAGCAGAGCATACAGCACGACGGAAGGCGACGGAAGCAGCGAGAACGACGACACAATCGGGGGATTCGCGTGGAACACGCAAGGAGGCAGGCGCAGAGTTGTGAAATTCTGGCGGAATGGGGAGAGGCGGAAAGACCTTGCCGAGCTGTGCCGACGTGGCATGGGGCCAGTGACGCTTGATTACGTCAGCGGATGCCTGAAGGTGAGTGGGAGTGTCTGCATCGGCCCATGCCTGCTGCTTTAACTGTCCTGATCGGAAGCTTTAAAAACGAGCACTTGAGCTGCGATTTCTACTATTATCGCTCCTTGAGCTGCTCATGTGCTGCTCCTGCTCGTGCTGCTGCTGCGATTCACTCGCTCCTGTTACTAAATCGTCCGACGTCTGTTATCCCCTGCTCTTCCCTGCTCTTCCCTGCTCTCCCCTGTTGTCGCTGTTCCCACGTCACATTTTAAAGTCTCGTTTTCCTCTCCCACGGCTTTCTTTGTACAGAGAAGTTTCCAGGAAACTGCTGTGCCCCGTTTTCAAAGAGCCATCATGGAAGCAGCAAGTATTGGGGAAGGGGGAGGAAGGGGAGGGAACGGAGCAGGACGGGTGACAAAGAAGGGGGTTAAGCAGCACCGGCAGAAGGAAGCTGCCAGGAAACTACGCGTTGCTTTGAACGAGCTCTGTGCTGTGAAGTATGCTTTCACGCTTGTGCTTGCTGACGTGGCAGCTGAGGTGGCACGATGCAATGCCAAGAATGGTGTTGGGGACACGTGGGGTCATCCGTGGGCTGAGGTAGAAGGGGCAGAGGAGGAGGGTGGGGAGGAGGAGGGGGAGGAGGAGGAGGACGGGGGGGAGGGAGAAGAGGAGGAGTGGGAGGAGTGGGGAGGCGAAGAGGGAGGTGCAGTGGAGGAGTTGAGGGAGAGCATGCAAGCCATGCTGGTCAACGCCTCACCTCCACAGCTGTACGGTGAGTGCAGTGCTGTTTGTACGGTTGAGTGCGGTGCACTAAGAGCGAGAGTGGGAGGAGGAGCAGGGGGAAGAAGATGGGGGTGTGGTGGAGGAGTTGAGGGAGAGCATGCAAACCATGCTGGTCAACGCCACACCGCCACAGCTGTATGGTGAGTGCGGTGCTGTGACTGCACTCATATCACATGCATGCATGAACGGGGAATGAGATTGATTCACGTTCTGTGATGGTTCTCGCATCATCTCGAGTGCGCATTGCACTATCTTCTTCCTTGCACGCATTTTGAGACGTCTCGAAACTCGAGCACATTCTTCCCTCCACTCCACCCACCCACATCCATGCATCGCTGACAGGGCTGCTGCAGGAGTTCCTGTCGTCTCGCTTCAAGGATGTTTCTGCGTGCATGCGCCCTTTCTATATAGAGGATGGTGACGAGGAGGAGGAAGAGGAGGAGGAGGAGGAGGAGGAGGAGGAGGAGGAGGAGGAGGAGGAGGAGGAGGAGGAGGAGGAGGAGGAGGGGGGGGGAGGAGGAAGAGGAGGATGAGGTGGAAGAGGAAGGGGAGGGGGAGGAGGTGGAGGAAGGGGAGGGGGAGAAGGAGGAGGAGGAGGCAGGGGATTTAGAGGAATCAGCAGGGAAGCTACAGTCGACCCCAGTGGGAACATCTAGCACCCCTGTAGCCGCCACCGCCACTGCAGGTGGGGAGAGGTACCACCAACACCCAGGTGAAAGACTCACACCTCTACTGAACGCAGAGAGTCAGAACATGCTCAGAAGCTTCCCTGGGTTTGAGGAAGAGGAGGCGGTGAGTGAGGGCAAGGGGAGGGGGCCGAGGAGACGGCTGGAGAATGAAATGGCTGCGCTTGAGGCGAGGGGGAGAGGGGTAGTAGAGGGGGGAGCGGGAGAGGGAGAGGGAGACAGAGGTGAGGCGTGTGAAGCAGCGGGGGCAGTGAGCAGAGCAGAGCAGGAGACGCTTGCAGCGGTGCTGGATGGATTGCTGGGCACTGAGGGTGAAGGGGAGGAGGGTGGGGGCGAGGAGGACGCAGCTTACGGGGACGGTGGGGGCTATGGGGAGGGGGGAAAGACAGACTCGCCTATGTGTTGGGCGGGGAGGTTGGAGGAGAGGATGGGGCGGGCGTGGGTGTGGCGCGTGCAGCAGGTGATGCGTGCTCTGGGGTTCTCAGGGCTCTCTTTCCTGTCGCATGCGGTGCTGTCTGCTGTGCTGCTAGCCCGGCTTAAGGCGCATGTGCATGCATCAGCAGGAGCCGTTTTCGACCGTCGGATCCTCCCTCGCCTGCATCGGTGGCTGCAGGTCACTGCTCTTCCCTTCGTTACTATCACCACCTGCACAGTCACCACTAAGACCAGCACCACCGATACTAGCACCAGCAGAGGTGATTCCTCGGCCATCTCCATCCGTAGTTCTCGCGTGTCAGATCCGATCTCAGCCGCACATCTGCGGCAGTGGCATGCCTGGTTGCGCCACGTGGCGGGCAGGGAGCTGTGTGCGGTGCGCACGGGACAACTATTTGACATCATAGTCGATTACCCCGACTCCACCCCCGCCCTCCTCGACCTTAAAGACTGCCTTGAGAATGGCGCTGCCGCTGCTGCTGCTGCTGCTGATGCCACTGCTGGTGCTGCTGCTGTTGGTGACTCTGGATTCAGTGCTGCTGCTGGTGGGGCTGGTGTGGAGGGTTTTGGGACGGCTGCCCTTGCGGCTGCTGCTCCGCCTCTGGTTGCTCTTGTGGCCGCACAAGGAGGGAGCGGTCTGAGTGGTGTGAGTGGTGTGCGAGGAGCCATGGGAGGGGAGGGGTTGGGCATGGGAGGGGAAAGCAGCATTGGTGGGGGGAGCGCGTATGGGAGGCTGGTTGCTTCGTTCCGGGCAGCGCTGGCCAATCGGCTGCTGACAGCTGGCGCGTCGACGGCGGATATCCTGCAGCAGTATGTGTCGGCGATACGGGCTCTGAGGCTGGTGGACCCGTCGGGAGTGGTGCTGGAGGCGGTCAGTGAGCCCATCCGACAGTATCTCAGAGGCAGAAAGTGAGTGTCTGGAGGTGCCAGTAGCACATGGGTTCGAGGGAGCGAGAGGAGTGGTATGCTACAAGACCTATGCCATATATTCTCTGCGGCTGGTGGACCCGTCGGGGGTGGTGCTGGAGGCAGTCAGTGAGCCCATTCGACAGTACCTGCGCGGCAGAAAGTGAGTTTGGTTTGGTCATCATGGTAGGGTCGAGACCAATGGTATGCTTAATCCATGCCATACGTGCTCGGCTGGTGGACCCGTCGGGGGTGGTCCTGGAGGCAGTCAGTGAGCCCATTCGCCAGTACCTGCGCGGCAGAAAGTGAGTCATTGGGGGAGGTGAGAGTGTGCGTGGCGTGGAGGGTAGTCTGCTAAAGGTGTGCTCTGCGGCTGGTGGACCCGTCCGGAATGGTGCTAGAGGCAGTCAGTGAGCCCATTCGCCAGTACCTGCGCGGCAGAAAGTGAGTCATTGGGGGAGGTGAGAGTGTGCGTGGCGTGGAGGGTAGTCTGCTAAAGGTGTGCTCTGCGGCTGGTGGACCCGTCTGGGGTGGTGCTAGAGGCAGTCAGTGAGCCCATTCGCCAGTACCTGCGCGGCAGAAAGTGAGTAGGGATTGTAAGGTTGGGTGGGGGTTGTGTGCCTGGAAAGGGAGTCTTCTAGAAGTGTGCTCTGCGCCTGGTGGACCCGTCGGGGGTGGTGCTGGAGGCAGTCAGTGAGCCCATTCGACAGTACCTGCGAGGCAGAAAGTGAGTTCTGTTATGCTGGTAAGGGGCAAGGTGATGGCTTGTGGCAATATGCTTGGGCTGATTTGAGCCGCCACAGGTGTGCTCTGAGGCTGGTGGATCCGTCGGGGGTGGTGCTGGAGGCAGTCAGTGAGCCCATTCGACAGTACCTGCGGGGGAGAAAGTGAGTGCTGGAGGGGTGAAAGTGGGGGAGATGGGGGGGAGAGGGATCGGAGAGGAGAGGCGAGGAGGGTATGCAACATATACCACGCATATTGCCGGTGTTAATACTCTTGAACCAACCATCCATCCGACGATCCATTTTTGAGTCGACTCAAAAGTCCATGTTCGGGTCGCGCGAGGTGCTGCTGGGGTGGGGGAGTATCGAGGTAGCAGAGTCATGTTGCCGCTGTTAGTAATCCATACATGGTCAGGTCAAACCGCTTTGCAAGTGACCTGCTGCAGGGAACCAACCAACCATCCATGCCATCCATCCCCCAACCTGATCTCCTGCTCCTCCCTACACGCAAGCGCAGGGACACCATTCGCTGCATCATGACTCTGCTGACTCAGCATCCTTCTGCAGCGCCAGGTGGCGCCATCAAGGGCGCTGCTGACGTGGCAGATGACGTGGCAGGGGAGGCGGGGGACCCGGGTGACCTGTCACTGCTGGAGGAGCTAAGCCGGGCGGCGGAAGGGGGCGAGGGGGAGGCGGGGGGGAGTGGAGAGGGGGAGGAGGAAGGGGCAGGCTTGGGGGAAGATCTGTCTGCGGCTTATGCTGCTGCTGAACGGTGAGTGGTGGTGCCGAGCAGTGAGCAGCGGTGCTGAGTGGTGAGGCTGCTTGGGTGACGATTTGGCTGTGGCTTACGCTGCTGCTGAGGGATGAGTGGTGAGGGGGGGAGGGGAGTTGCTGGTGAGCTGAGCAGAGAGCTAGAAGGTGTTAGTGATTTGAAACGTTTCAAACCGCTTCGAAGTGACCTTTTCGACATGCTTTACACTCTCACCTTTCCTCCCGCCTTTCTTCCTGCAGCTGGCCGCCAGACCCCGTCGACGCGAATCCCTGGAGGACCTCAGGACAGGCACAGAGGTCATCCAGGGATTCGCGTCCTGATGATTCGAGGCACAGAGGGCGCGACGCGGGATATAGTCGGGGTGCTGGTGTCCAGTTGGGCTGGCCTCAGAAAGGTGCTACCTGGGGTAGGCGCCACCTGATCGGGCTCCCATGCCTGACTTGACACTCTCCAATCCATTCCCCCCTCCTCCCGCAGCTGGGAGCCTGATCCGGTTGACGCCGATCCCTGGCGGTCCTCCGGCCAGGCGCAGAGGGCGAGGGACATAGTGCGCGTGCTGGCGGGGGTGTTTGGGTCGCGGGAGGTGCTGCTGGGGGAGTATCGAGGCATGCTGGCGGAGAGGCTGGTGGGGCGAATGGGGTATGACACTGACAGGGACGTGCGCACACTTGAGCTGTTGAAGGTGCGTGTGTGAATGGGAGAGAGGGTGAATGCGGTCAATGTATAGACCATACATCTGTGCTCCAATGGAGGTGCTGCTGGGGGAGTATCGAGGCATGCTGGCGGAGCGGCTGGTGGGGCGCGCGGGGTACGACACTGACAGGGACGTGCGCACCCTGGAGCTGCTCAAAGTAGGTGGACAGGTGCTCAAGGTGCGTGGGAGATGGAGGGAGTACATGCAGTGAAGGTACATAGCATCGATGTCCATGGGAGGTGCTGCTGGGGGAGTACCGAGGCATGCTGGCGGAGCGGCTGGTGGGGCACGCTGGGTATGACACTGACAGGGACGTGCGCACCCTGGAGCTGCTCAACGTGCGTGCGTGAGTGGGAGAGAGAAGAGAACTCAATGCTTGTATGGTCAGTTGAATGTCAGGTCAAGGCATGCACTATGCATGTGTGCTTCATCCAAGAGGCTGGTGGGGCGCGCTGGGTATGACACTGACAGGGACGTGCGCACTCTGGAGCGAGGAAAAGGACGTGCTTAAGGTGCGTGGGAGGTTAAGCGAGGAAAGGGTAGCGCTTTCATTTCTTCCGCTTAACCTCCCACGCGCCCCACAGCTCCGATTTGGAATGTTGAATCTGCACACGTGCGAGGTGATGCTGCTGAGGGACATGGCGGATTGACCTCTTGTGTGCCTCTTTGCTCCTTTGCACCTTTTCTACCAGCTCCGGTTTGGCGATTCCAATCTGCACGCGTGTGAAGTGATGCTGAGGGACATGGCGGATTCAAAGCGCATCAACCACTCCAATTTGCCCACCCGCCCCCTCTCCCCTCCCACCCACCCCCCCTTGCATCCCCAATGCACCGCCTCCCAGCTTCGCTTCGGAGAATCCAACCTGCACGCGTGTGAGGTGATGTTGAGGGACATGGCGGACTCAAAGCGAATTAACGGCAACGTGAAGGCGGCTATGAGGCAGGCAAGGGAGGAGGCTCGAGACTTGGCAGAGGCGCGTTCTAATATTGCTCGCTCGAAAGCCCTCATGAGGCGGCGAGGTGAGAGAGGGTGAGGGAGGAGAGTTTAGAGACGAGAGGAGCAGGTAAGGGTTGATGGGGATGAGGGCAAAGGGTAGTGAAACAAGTGATGAGACAGGTGACGAGGAGAGGGCGGGGAAATGAGGAAGGATGAGGAAGAGAGGGGACGGTAGGTAGTGAAGTGAAACAATCGCAGGGGGTTTTTGAGAATTCTCAAAAACACCCTGCAGCATCGGGGACGGTAGGTAGTGAAGTGAAACAATCGATGAGGCAGGCGAGGGAGGAGGAGGCTCGGCTGCTGGCGGAGGCTCTTACAAGCAATAACAATCGTTCTGCTATTGCTCGCAAGAGAGCTCTTATGAGACGACGAGGTGAGGATGGGGAGTTGAGGAGGGGCGGAGGGTAGGGACGGCGGGCATGCGGCAGGCGTGGGAGAAGGAGGCTCAGGTGGTGGCAGAGGCCTGTTGTGCTGGTGCTTGTGCGAGAGCCCTCATGGGACGACGAGGTGAAGGAGGGTGGTGACTTTTGAGTCGACTCAAAAAGTGTCGTGTGCCATTGTAACGAGGTGACTTTTGAGTCGACTCAAAAAGTGTCGTGTGCCGTTGTAACGAGGTGACTTTTGAGTCGACTCAAAAAGTGTCGTGTGCCGTTGTAACGAGGTGACTTTTGAGTCGACTCAAAAAGTGTCGTGTGCCATTGTAACGAGGTGACTTTTGAGTCGACTCAAAAAGTGTCGTGTGCCGTTGTAACGAGGTGACTTTTGAGTCGACTCAAAAAGTGTCGTGTGCCATTGTAACGAGGTGACTTTTGAGTCGACTCAAAAAGTGTCGTGTGCCATTGTAACGAGGTGACTTTTGAGTCGACTCAAAAAGTGTCGTGTGCCGTTGTAACGAGGTGACTTTTGAGTCGACTCAAAAAGTGTCGTGTGCCATTGTAACGAGGTGACTTTTGAGTCGACTCAAAAAGTGTCGTGTGCCGTTGTAACGAGGTGACTTTTGAGTCGACTCAAAAAGTGTCGTGTGCCGTTGTAACGAGGTGACTTTTGAGTCGACTCAAAAAGTGTCGTGTGCCATTGTAACGAGGTGACTTTTGAGTCGACTCAAAAAGTGTCGTGTGCCGTTGTAACGAGGTGACTTTTGAGTCGACTCAAAAAGTGTCGTGTGCCGTTGTAACGAGGTGACTTTTGAGTCGACTCAAAAAGTGTCGTGTGCCGTTGTAACGAGGTGACTTTTGAGTCGACTCAAAAAGTGTCGTGTGCCGTTGTAACGAGGTGACTTTTGAGTCGACTCAAAAAGTGTCGTGTGCCATTGTAACGCGGTGACTTTTGAGTCGACTCAGAAAGTGTCGTGTGCCATTGTAACGAGGTGACTTTTGAGTCGACTAAAAAAGTGTCGTGTGCCATTGTAACGAGGTGACTTTTGAGTCGACTCAAAAAGTGGCGTGTGCCGTTGTAACGAGGTGACTTTTGAGTCGACTCAAAAAGTGCCGTGTCCGTTGTAACGAGGTGACTTTTGAGTCGACTCAAAAAGTGTCGTGTGCCATTGTAACGAGGTGACTTTTGAGTCGACTCAAAAAGTGTCGTGTGCCATTGTAACGCGGTGACTTTTGAGTCGACTCAGAAAGTGTCGTGTGCCATTGTAACGAGGTGACTTTTGAGTCGACTAAAAAAGTGTCGTGTGCCATTGTAACGAGGTGACTTTTGAGTCGACTCAAAAAGTGGCGTGTGCCGTTGTAACGAGGTGACTTTTGAGTCGACTCAAAAAGTGTCGTGTGCCGTTGTAACGAGTTGACTTTTGAGTCGACTCAAAAAGTGTCGTGTGCCATTGTAACGAGGTGACTTTTGAGTCGACTCAAAAAGTGTCGTGTGCCATTGTAACGAGGTGACTTTTGAATCGACTCAAAAAGTGTCGTGTGCCATTGTAACGAGGTGACTTTTGAGTCGACTCAAAAAGTGTCGTGTGCCATTGTAACGAGGTGACTTTTGAGTCGACTCAAAAAGTGTCGTGTGCCGTTGTAACGAGGTGACTTTTGAGTTGACTCAAAAAGTGTCGTGTGCCATTGTAACGAGGTGACTTTTGAGTCGACTCAAAAAGTGTCGTGTGCCATTGTAACGAGGTGACTTTTGAATCGACTCAAAAAGTGTCGTGTGCCATTGTAACGAGGTGACTTCTGAGTCGACTCAAAAAGTGTCGTGTGCCATTGTAACGAGGTGACTTTTGAGTCGACTCAAAAAGTGTCGTGTGCCGTTGTAACGAGGTGACTTTTGAGTCGACTCAAAAAGTGTCGTGTGCCATTGTAACGAGGTGACTTTTGAGTCGACTCAAAAAGTGTCGTGTGCCATTGTAACGAGGTGACTTTTGAGTCGACTCAAAAAGTGTCGTGTGCCGTTGTAACGAGGTGACTTTTGAGTCGACTCAAAAAGTGTCGTGTGCCGTTGTAACGAGGTGACTTTTGAGTCGACTCAAAAAGTGTCGTGTGCCATTGTAACGAGGTGACTTTTGAGTCGACTCAAAAAGTGTCGTGTGCCATTGTAACGAGGTGACTTTTGAATCGACTCAAAAAGTGTCGTGTGCCATTGTAACGAGGTGACTTTTGAGTCGACTCAAATAGTGTCGTGTGCCGTTGTAACGAGGTGACTTTTGAGTCGACTAAAAAAGTGTCGTGTGCCATTGTAACGAGGTGACTTTTGAGTCGACTCAAAAGTCACCCAGAGGCCTGTTGTGCTGGTGCTTGTGCGAGAGCCCTCATGGGACGACAAGGTGAAGGAGGGTGGTGCAGGGGGGAGAGGGTGTTGTTTTTAGGAGAGAATTGAAATTGAGGAGAGGAGCGGGGAGGGGAGGAGGGGAGGAGAGAGGAGAGAAGAGGAGGAGCTCTCTCCATCAGCACACTTATTCCATCAACTCTTCCACCCCGTTCCCTCCCTTCCCTCCCCTCCCTCCTCCTTCTCGAATGGTTTCACACTTGTGTGCAGGCCTATCAGTGGTGGGGGCAGGGAGGGGAGCAGCAACGGCACAGAGAGAAAGCAGGGGCACGGGGGGAGGTCCATCTGGGGCAGGTGTATCTGGTTCAGGTGTATCTGGGTCAGGCTCATCTGCATGGTCGCAGGCACACACACCAGAGCACCTGGTGGTTAGGGGCATGGCATCGTTCTCCACCCCTCCAGACCGACCTGGGAGAGGAGGAGAAGGGGGAGAGGGAGGGGGAGGGGGAGGGATTGTGGGAGGGGCGTCGCAGTGGTTCACTCCAGAATCGTTTGCTTCTCCTCCTCCGCCCGCCGCTCCAGCACAGGCTCCTACTGGTGAGTTTTGAGACGACTCTGAACAGGAGGAGGAGGGGGAGGGGGAGGGGGAGGGATTGTGGGAGGGGCGTCGCAGTGGTTCACTCCAGACTCGTTTGCTTCTCCTCCTCCGCCCGCCGCTCCAGCACAGGCTCCTACTGGTGAGTTTTGAGACGACTCTGAACAGGAGGAGGAGGGGGAGGGGGAGGGGGAGGGATTGTGGGAGGGGCGTCGCAGTGGTTCACTCCAGAATCGTTTGCTTCTCCTCCTCCGCCCGCCGCTCCAGCACAGGCTCCTACTGGTGAGTTTTGAGACGACTCTGAACAGGAGGAGGAGGGGGAGTGGGAGGGGGAGGGATTGTGGGAGGGGCGTCGCAGTGGTTCACTCCAGACTCGTTTGCTTCTCCTCCTCCGCCCGCCGCTCCAGCACAGGCTCCTACTGGTGAGTTTTGAGACGACTCTGAACAGGAGGAGGAGGGGGAGGGGGAGGGGGAGGGATTGTGGGAGGGGCGTCGCAGTGGTTCACTCCAGACTCGTTTGCTTCTCCTCCTCCGCCCGCCGCTCCAGCACAGGCTCCTACTGGTGAGTTTTGAGACGACTCTGAACAGGAGGAGGAGGGGGAGTGGGAGGGGCGTCGCAGTGGTTCACTCCAGACTCGTTCGCCTCTCCTCCTCCTGCTGCTGCAGCAGCACAGGCACCCCCTGGTGAGCGAGAGTGGCATGGGAAGGTGCAGAATGAAATGTGTGGGATGTCATTCCGCTTCCCTTTCTGCCAGTCCCCATTTGCCCTTTCCACTTTGTCCTTTTGCTTGCCCCCCTTTTCTCTGATCCATCTCCCCTTGCGCGTTCCCCTTCCCCTTAGCCCACTGCCATCTCCCCTTCGTCCATTCCCTGTTGCCCGTCGACCTTTGTCCTTTCGTTCCTCTCACCACTTTCTCTGCCCCCTTTTCACCCCCTCCCCTCCCCCAACTTCCCTGCAACCCCTCGTGCAACCAACGCACCTGCCACTACAATTACTGTTGCGCCTGCTACCCCTGTTGCTTGCTGCCCATCACCAAAACATTTTCATTTCCCCAGATTCTTCAGGCGCAGCTGCCCCTCCTCCTCGGGCAGCCCGGCCAAATCTTCTGTCCCGCTGGGCCCGCCTCCGCCCGGACCTCCGCACGCCGACCTTTTCTGGAGACCGTTCCGCAGATCGCGGGCAGCCCGGAAATTCCGCCCATACTCCCAGCCAATCAGGCGGCGGCAGCTCAGCCATGGGGGGGAACAGGGGCAGTGGGAGGGGCGGGCAGGGGGGATTCTGGGATGTTATGGACGCACTGGGGGGAGAGGGAGGGGGGGAAGAAAACGCAGAGAGAGGGAGGATTGGGGAGGAGGAGGAGGAGGAGGAGATGGAAGGAGGGGAGGAAGAGGAGGAGGTGAAGCCAGAGGAGAAAGAGGAGTTGCTAGAAGCAGAGAATCTGGACGCTACGATCGTCTCGGCGCTCTTTTGGCCGGCTTTCCAGGAGGAATCGGTGCGGTTACCGGCGCCGGTAACGAAGCTGATGGAGGAATATTCAGCCAACTATGCGACGCTCAAAGCGCCCCGCAAGTTGCAGTGGAAGGGGAATCTTGGGTGCGTTACAATCGAGCTGGAGTTTGGTAACGGGCGTAACAGCCAGCAGTACACTGTGACGCCCGTTCAAGCAGCCATTATCCTGAAATTCCAAACAGCCGGAGCAGGAGGGGAGAAAGGGGCAGAAAGTGCAGGTGACGGTGCAGAAAACGGAGAAGCTAATAAGGAGGACGAGGCGATGCCGCAGTGGGCGGCATCTGAGCTGGCGTCAGCAGTGGGCCTGTCAGTGCCAGTGCTGCGTCGGCGAATCACATTCTGGGTGAATCAGGGCGTGATTGTCGAATCGGTCGCGACCAATCGGTCGCCTCCGGAACCTCTTTTCACGGTGGTTGACCACCATGTAGATCCTGCTGCTTCTGCTGCTGCTGCTGCTGCTGGTGGGGGTGGTTATGGGGATAGAGATGGTGATGGTGACGCGGATGCTGCTGCTGCTGGTGAGGGTGCTGGGCTGGGTGGGTTGCGAGGTGATGGAGAGGGAGAGGATTTGGTAGCAGGCGGGGAGTTGCTAATCGGGGATGAGGACGAGGAGGAGGAGGGGGGAGGCATGGTGGCCTCCTTAGAAGCGCAGAGGAAGCAGGAGAGTGCGGTGCACGAGTCGTTCATAACAGGCATGCTCACCACATTCGACGGCCTCCCTATAGAGCGAATCCACAACATGCTCAAGATGTTTGTGTCTGACCCGCCGTATGACCGCTCGCTGGCGCAGCTGCACGCGTTTCTGGGGGTGCTGGTGGCGCAGGAGAAACTAGAGCTTAGGGATGGGTTATATCGCAAAAAGAAGTAGTTATGGTTCTGTTCAGAGCGGTTCTGGCCTCCTTGGAAGCGCAGAGGAAGCAGGAGAGTGCGGTGCATGAGTCGTTCATAACAGGCATGCTCACCACGTTTGACGGCCTGCCTATAGAGCGCATCCACAACATGCTCAAGATGTTTGTCTCCGACCCGCCATATGACCGCTCGCTGGCGCAGCTGCACGCGTTTCTGGGGGTGCTGGTGGCGCAGGAGAAGCTGGAGCTGCGGGATGGGCTGTACCGCAAGAAGAAGTAGGTTGCTGTCCGGTTTAGAGCGGTTCTTGCCTGGTTTGCCTTGTCTGGTAACCCTCCTCCTGCTGCAGCTGCAGCTGCACGCGTTTCTGGGGGTGCTGTTGGCGCAGGAGAAGCTGGAGCTGCGAGATGGGCTGTACCGCAAGAAGAAGTAGGTGCAGTCTAGTTCAAAGAGGTTCTCACACAGTGTTCTAGATTTCTTTGGTACTGCTCCTGCTGCTGCTGTAGCTGCACGCCTTTCAGGGGGTTCTGGTATATAATCTGCAGAAGAACATGATAGATTATATGACAGACAACTCAAGCAGATTGCCCTGCCACTAGGTACCAATGTATCTTAGGTTAGGTGCCTACAGACCTTGGTTTCTATTAGGTGATGCGCTTTGGCAGGAGGCTGTGCACAATATATCGTAGGCAGATGATGCCCTCTCCTCTCACCCTCCTCTCTAACTGATATTATGCTGTAGACCGCACTTGAATTAATGCTTTCTATGAGTATGAAACTCCACTTTCAGTGTACTACTAAGTAGTGTATAACTGTTATTCGCCCTTCTCCCCTGCATCCCCTGCCTCCATCTCCTGTAGCACTCTCTCTGCCGCTGATGGCCGGCTGCTCACTGTGGCTGATGACGACGTGACCTGCCATGGCCGTATCAAGAGAGGGATTGGGGGTTGGGAAAGGGGGGCGGGGATGAAAATGTGAGATCAATTTGCACTTTCTCTGCCACGGATGGTCGGCTGCTCACTGTGGCTGACGACGACGTGACCTGCCATGGCCGTATCAACAGAGGGATAGGGGGTGGGAAACGGTGGGTACTGTGAGCCAGGCATGCCAGGAGGGAGAGGAGGGCGGGGGTGAAAGATGGTGGGGAGGAGGACTGGGCTGGTGGGAATTTTAGCAACAGAATGATCCTGGCCGGGATGCTGGCCCATTGGTCCTTCATGCGCATGACTCTCTTCTGACCTGTCGTCACTGCAGTGTCAATCTTATCCTCGTGCTTGTGTTTAGTTGACTTACCTTATTCAAATAAAATGCCACCACTCACCGGGATGCTGGCCCATTGATCCTTCATGCGCATGACTCTCTTCTGACCCGCGGAGACAGCACTGTCGATCTTATCCTCGTGCTTCTTGATTTGCGGATACAGGAACTTCCAGTAGATGATGCTGGCACCCTGACAGTATAGCGGATAACGAGACAACACATAACGGGACACGAAATCAGGAACACAACACTAGGGAGATGGCAGACTGAGCTCGCACAGAGTGACTCTCTGGCGGCGAGTTACACGGACCGAGGAGAAGAAAGATGGGGGGTCTAAATGAATCTTTGACGATTTCAACAATGGCACAAAAGCTAAGTGACTCTTTGGCGACACGGGACTAAGAAGAGAGTATCATCTGACCTTTGTCATTGGTAGTTGGAGCCACAGAACGAAGAGGAGCTTGAGGGAGAAGAAGATGGGAAGCCTGTACGCCACAGATGCATTCAGCAACAGACGAATTCGGCAAGTCCCGGTGGTGAGTGTGAGGGACGGAGGTCGTGCGCATAACAACAAGCAGAGTCGACATTCGAGACGTCTCAAAGATCGTGGTGAGGGAATCAAACATAGACGACAGTGCATCATCGCCAGTTCAAAGCCGAATGAAGCGAAGGGGGCAGTCGAGTTTCCAGACTACAATGAACCCGAACCTAAAATATGAAGTCGCTTCGACAGGAAGGACGACTGGATCGGTGAGACGGACGTGCAACGTACCAGACGAGGACCCAGTAGAAGATGGATTCGACGAAGTTAATGCACGCTAGGACGGTCCAATACGTGAGCCATTGCGCCTTGTTGTCCGATGATTGCGAATCCAGAGCCTTGAAGCTAGCGTAAAACGGATATGCGAAGCTGAGTAGGACCCTGAAAGAACAGAGTGCGAGAACACAGGAGATCGGGAAAGACGACGGGACGGTGATCGAAGGGTAAGGCACACAGGTGAGGTAGAAGCGACTAAACGCGATGCGGAAGCTAGGCTTAGCTACAGCAGTGCGTCGTACACGAGGGGTTTGACGATGAATTCGGTGGTTAGGTGAGGCGACGCTACCACGGTGGCTACAGCGGTCGAGGCCATAGCTTTGATGACAGATACGATACGAGATGGGGATCAGACGGAGCGCGCGTCGGCCATGGATCAGGATTGTGTCTGTTCACCTAATAACAAACCAAGTAAAATTCCCGCAATCTGGGAAACGAAGACAGAAGGTTTCAGAATGTATTTTTGTAGTTGGCTGGGCGTGAATCCAGATTCTAGGGACTGTCGGTAACTGGGTGGTGCCGGCACTTCGCAAGGGCATTTCGGTTACCAGTTATCGCGCCAGAAAATGTTTCGTGCCCGAAAGTCGCATTCCACTTTTCTGCTATTATTGAGAATGACGAAGGAGTTACAGGGTAGAGGTTGGTGGTGACGACACATAGCCAATTAGAAACCAGATCGCCAACAGGGACGCAGGAGAGGCACATTAGGCGAACAACCGTCACGTTGACGAGATACTCGCGAACGGTGAGCGACATTCCGGAGACGGAAAAAATCAACTAAGAAGCCTACATCAACAGTCATACGGTACAAGTTCAGCGCCAAGGAACAAACAATTACCTACATAGATCCACAATAACAGCAGCATCAGACCTCAGCAACAAACCCAGTCGTGACAAACATCCAAGCCACACTCCGCTCCACTCCTTGGCTGATCCGTGTACCCCCTCGACTTGAGAACCGACTCAAAGAAGCTCCGAAACGTGTCCGAGCAGTCTGGCGGCGTGAGAAACACCACATCCCGCAATGTGCGGCTTCTCAGAAGCTTCACCATCGCCGGCTCTTGCACCACTCCCCCTAGAGTCACCCGCCGGAGACACGGCGACAGGGACAGCAGCCGAGCAGCATCAGGAGAGAGCAGGTCTAGGCACAGCGGAGCAGAGGCTACCGGGCAGGGCGCGGGGCGGAATTCAATCTCTTGAATAGCGAGCGATGGGCAGGAGGCTAGCAGCGCGAGCTCGAGCGAGGCTAAGGCGGGAGCGGTGGCAGACTGGACTCCTTCGAGCGAGAGGAAGAGGTAGGTGAGCGCGGGGGGCTGGGAGAGGAAGGCGAGGGAGTAGTGGTGGGGTGGGAGCGGAAGAGTGTCTTGCTCCAGAGCGCCGTAGAGGGAGAGGAAGAAGAACTTGAGGTTGGGGCAGGAGGCCAAGCCAGCACTGCAACGGAGATGGGCGAGGAGAGGGGGGGAGGACCAGCAGGGTTGTACAGGAGAGCAGGGAGGAGGAAAGGGGGACAGCAAGAGAGGGTAAGGAAAAAGAGGGCTAAATCACGATGAACGTTTAGCGTGTGATTAAGACAGGCTCAAGATATCACCTCAGCAGAGAAAGGGCATCTGAGAAGAGAAGCACCACTGGAATTAGAAATGTTCCTGAACAAAGGGAGAATATACCTGAGCAAGGGAGAGAGCGAGGCGTCTACAGAAACTTCGAGGCAGAGAGACTCGAGAGCGGAGAAGCAGGCGAGGGGCAGCGGGGGGCTGGTGTGGGTCCAGGAGGCGGTCATCTGAATGCCCTTGAGGGTTGTGCGCGCTGGCATGAGTGCGTGCAGCAGCGCATGCGAATCCACATTGTCACACTGCAGGGGTGGGGCGATGGGGTGATGGGGCAACAGAGGTGAGGAATCAGACAGAGGAACAAGAAAACTGGGGGAGGGTGGGGGGGGGCTGGTGTGGGTCCAGGAGGCGGTCATCTGAATGCCCTTGAGGGTTGTGCAGGCTGGCATGAGCGCGTGCAGCAGGGCATACGAATTCACATTGTCACACTGCAGGAGGGCGATGGAAAGAGGGGGGCGATGGGGAGACATGGAAAAGCGGTGAGACTGGATGTGGTTTAGAATGGGAGTAGGTGGCAAGGTGCACGGAGAGGAGACCAGGAGAGGGTGGGTGGGTGAAAAAGAGAGGAATGTGTTGCTGCATTTGGGGCGTTGCGTGTTACATCTGCTTTACAATCCCTTGTGAGACCGCCCCTCTCACCTGCATCACTCTCACGCTCTCCAGCGCTCGCCCTCGCGCCCTGCAGCTCCCACCAGCCGCAGCCACTTCGCACTGCCCCCCAGCAGCGCACACAGCACAGCCCAGCGCAAACGCGCGGGCGGACAGCCGATGATTCGCCACCACCTCGAGCCTCCGCAGCTTGGGGCACCCCTCTAGCACAGCCTGCACGTCCCTGTCTGTCATGTCGGAGCACATCTGCAGCTCCAACTCCTCTAGTGCTGCGAACTGAGCGAGGGGTGGGAGTATAGGAGGTTGGGACCGGGGAGAAGGTGGGACGCGAGGAGAGCCAGTGGTGCTGGTGCTGGTGTCGGTGCTGGTGCAGCCACTAGTACAAGGGAGGGCGCTGGGGCAGGCCGCAAAGCTGTTGGTCATGTAGCTAGTGCTGCTAGTTTCGATGCTAGTGCTACCGGTGATGTAGGTGTCAAGGCTTGCGGCAGCTGCAACAAGCAGGCCTCCCTGCTGCTGCTGCTGCTCCTCCTCCTGCTGCGGCTGCTGCTGCGCCTGCAGCTGCTGCCACTGCTGCAGGTCCGCAAGCAGAGAATCGTCCACCTCCCAGCCGCTGCTGAAGCCATCCAAGGTGGGAGGCAGCAACGAAGGGGCGCTATCCCACTGCATCCACTCCTGCAGGTTACCACCATCCAGGTTACCACCATCCAGATTACCACCATCCAGGTTACCACCATCCAGGTTACCACCATCCGGGTTACCACCATCCAAATTACTACCATCCGGGTTACCACCATTGTCTGCCGCCAAGGGGAAGCTCAAAGGTTCATCGACGAATGGAGCGCAAGGGGAGGCTGAGCCGAACTGGCCATCCCATTGCTGCGCCTGCTGCTGCTGCTGCTGCTGCATCTCCTGCTGCTGAAACTGCTGCGACTGCTCTTCCTGCTTAACTGCCTCTTGCTCCTCCTGCTTCTCCTGCTCCTCCTGCTCCTCCTGCCCACCTCCCCTCTGCGCCACACCCTCTACTGCTTCGCCAACAGCCAGCACCCCTCGACCGAGCCCCAAAAACCGAGTGAGTCGCAGCACACGCAGTGACTTGCATCCAGCAGCCAGCGCCTCTACCGCCGGCCCGCTGCGGTGCACACAGAAGGACGGCACCAGGCACAGCTCCTCCAGGCTCGGGCAGTGCCGAGCCAGACTCTCCAGTGCAGCGGCGGTGATTGGGTAGGTTGGGCACGCCGTCGGGACTGGCGGCGGCAGTGCTGGTGCAAGAGTGGCGAATTGAGCAGGTGGAGTGGCAGCAGCAACAGAAGCAATACCAGCCACAGCAGCCAACGTTGCAGCAGCAGCAAGAAACGCGGTGGAGGTAGGAGAGGGGGAGGACTGGGGGAGGGGAGATGGCCCGAGAGTAGAGGCAAGGGCTACGGCTGATATGCCCGTGGTAGCAGCAGGTGGAAAAGGCACATACTCATCCAAACCCTCAATATCCACTTGCTCAACCTCTGCTGCGTCCGCTGCTGCTGCAGCTGCTGCTACTGTTGCTTCTGAAACTACTGCTACTGCTGCTGCTACTGAGCCACCAAAAGCGCCCCAAGGCCCATCCACAGCCGCGTCCTCAGTGTCTCCAATGCCGTCCCCATCAGCAACCCCATCCGCCACCCCATCCGCGTCCCCCTCGTCGCTGTCGTTGAGGTCGTGCGCCACGTCTTCAATGCGCAGCACGCGCAGAGCCGGGCACCCACGCGCCACACTCGCGATCCTGTGTGCGGCAAGCAGCGGGTGGGATGGGATGGGGTGGGGTGGGGTAGGGTGGGATGGGACGGGATGGATGGCACAGTGCAAACACAACGGCGGAAATTGAGATGGGAAATTAGTGTAATGGAAAAACGGAAATGTGACAGGAACAATGGGAACGTGGCAAGTGCTTGGGGCGGGTGAGGCACGATGGAGAGGAGTGAGTGAGGGGAGTGATAGAGACCACAGCGGTGAAGGTGGGATCGGGACACCCAGCAGCACTCCTCCCACCGGCTCCAACCCTATTCCTGTCACCGCTCCAATCCCTATCTCCCGAATCCCAACCCCAATCCCCACAACAACCATGCCCATGAACGAACACCCACATGCACCCAAACCATCTCCTTCCCACCCCATCCTCATTCCCGAAACCATTCGACACAGCTCTTGGCCGCCGTGCATGCTGCCAGCATGCAAGCCAGTCCGCTGCCAGACCCATTCCGCTGCAATAGGGACGGCGCAGCTACTGCCGCGGGCACTGTTCGGAGGGGGCCGACCCGCAGCCCCGTCAGACGCAGCGGCAGAAAGCGACATCACCAGCCGCCCTCGACGGGCGAAGCAGCAGCAGAGGAATCGATTTAGAACGGGCAGCGCTAGTCATTTCAGGGTGCAAGTAGCTGAGAGGGCAGCTGGCAGCCTGAATGGCATCATTGCGACGGCCATGGCTCTTTCAGGCGCCAGCTGCAGTGTGCCAAGGGACACGCAGTGCGCACACGGACAGTCTTGTTCTTGAGGCGCAAACAACAATTGCCACGCAACGGTTGACACACAACGGAACAGACGGTTGCCACGCAACCGCGCTTCTCTCGCGCCACTTAGAAATTGGCACAATCCTGACAATAAGTCGACCTCAGTAAGCGTACGCATGCGGATAGCGAGAGAAAGTGGAGGGTTTGAAACGGAAAGTAAATGAGAAGCGGCACAACGTCATACTACTCTTAGCTAAGGAATTCGCGATGATACGTACCCCATATCAGTGACGCCACCATCCGCCATCGCGAAACTCAGCTCCTCAAGGCCCGGGAAAGCACCCCGTCCAAACACCTCTAACGCGTCATCCCTTAACGGAGCAGGCCCGCCCAGCAGGTTCAGCACGCGAATCCTCCCCAGCTTGTAATCGCTCAGCTGCTTCGGCAACTCGTTAAAGTCACAGTGCCTGCTCCAGGAAAGATCGATGGAGTCGACTTTAGGGCAACGGGACACTAAACTGCTGACGTGGCGCGCCTCCAAACCCTCGTCCAGGCCATCCCAGTGGCCAATCACGATGTTCTCCAGCTTCGGCCAGCACTGGCGCACGTATTCCAAGCCAGATGGGCTGACGTTGGCTCGGACGCGGCGGAGGTTCGGAAACGACGTTCGGAAGACCTGCCGAAGTTCTTCTTCCGAACCTGGCCAATCAGGGTGGACATCAGCCAGGTCCAGGTCCGTCACCGAGTCGAAGCACGTCCCCAGGCTCGGAAGGTCGCTGAGGCTTCCGCGCAGGTGTAGCTGGGTACGCGTGGCACGCTCCCATTGGCGCCAGGCCCGGCAGACGAGTGCGCAGCAACCGCGGTCTCTTGGCGCGTCAACGAGGGAGACTATAACGCGGACAAGCTCGGAGGGAAGAGAGGCGAGAGAGGGCTTGGGCGAGGACCCTCGAGCGTGGCAAGGCTCAGCGTCAAGAAGAAGATGCGACGAATCAGCGAGATCGCGGGAGAAAGCAGGCGCGGAAGAACGTAACTGGTGGAACAACTGCCCCTTCTCTTTCACTCCCTCCTCCTCCGTCAATCCTTCTGTCTCCTTGGGATTTTCGAGGGGCGAAAAATGACCGTCCAATCGGCGAACCTTGCTCGGCGGGGCAAAAGATTCGAAACTCTGGGAACGGAAGTGGCTGGTTGATGCTGATGACGATGCGGGAGAGTCGATTGTCACTAAATTGCTGATGTTGCTCTGTAAAGCAGCATTCTGTAACGGGGATGAAGACACGATCGAGGAAGAGATCATGATGGTTCAACGAGTCGGGTGGAAAACTAAATCTGCGTACTTCTCTGCGTAGTATCACTCTGCGTAAGTGTTTCGTTCAGCAGCTGAGCCCCCTCTCGAGAACAAGGCTTCCACCAAGAACGCCTGCTACCACCACGTCTGACTTCACCACACGCCATGCTTCGCACCCATTGTATCCCATACGAGAGGCGAGGCGAGCGCGAGGCGATAGGCAGCTCATCCTGTCCGTTCGAAGAGAGAGCCGTATGAATGGAAGAAATCAAGCGTGGTTGCCGTTCCCAGGATTCAAAGCAATCGCCGAATCCATGAATGGCACTGAAAGCCGTAAAAACAGTGAAGTCTTAAAAGATGCGGGACGCCGGGAAACTAATCTAGTGCGAACGTGTTCTAAGGTAGTCTAGGGAAGAGGAACGAGCGATTTCTAAAGCGAGTACAGTGCGAGGGTAGCAGCAACGGTACTCCCTAGAGGAAGACTCGGAAACGAAACCATGACTGGAGACATGACGTGACCCTAAACGACCCGTCCTACCGTCGGCGGCACGCGGAAAAGGTGAACTAGCTGCTGCTAAGGGAGCTATCGCGGGCTATTTGGTAGACATGGAAAAAAAGGAAAACGCGGCGGATTTGTACGTGTGGTCCATTGGGAAAAGTGGTGGTAAGACGGATGTGGAGTGGATGTGAAGGAAAGAGCCGAAGCGAGCAGGAAGCAGAGGCAGTATGAGGACGCTTCGAGAAGAGAACGAGTAGAGGAAACCGAGAAGGGGGTCTACAGCAGGCTCAGAAACACGCGAGAGGCAGACAGCGGGTGGAAAGGCACGATACGAGCTGAGGACGTGAGTAGCTGAGGATGAGGGTCAGAGCACACCGAAATCTGAGCGTCTCAGTGGAGACTTGGGTATATTACGCAACGTGAAGGTGGTTGCTTGAGCCAGACGAAAGCGAATCTAAGGTTTTGACCGGTTCCAAATTTTAAGAGTTAGTGTTCAAGACGACAATAGCCACGATATGAATTTCTCAGACGTAAATTACTCCGCACCAAATTAGTAGGTTGTGGAGAGGACGGCCCCCTATTGAGTAGCTAACAAGCAAGCAAGCAAAGTCAGGCAGGAACAGAAGCATGCCGCAGCCTTGAGCAAAATTACTTACACCTCAAACATGTGTTGGAAGGGACATTTCTTGCAAAACCGTTCTGAAATGTTCTGTTCTTTACTCAACCGCTTTGTTCCGCGAAGTAACAGATTATACCGCATCCAAGTGACCCGACGACACCTTCGCACGGAGCGCAGCTGGTGCCTGGATGACCCTCCCTTGATTCTCCCAAGCCACCACCGCCACCCCCTCTGCTTGGTTCCCCGCACACGCAAGCGGCACCTGGCAGAAATCAGGCCCAGAGGGGGAAGGGCGGGATGGAAGCCGTTTGAAGGAGGGTTTGGGGATGACGTGGGCCAATAGGAGAAGCCAAGATGAAGTGAGTGCGCGGATGTACGTAGCGTGTGAAAGGGGTAATGCGCTTGGTACGGTGCTGGCTCCTGACGGAGTCCAAAGTGGTTTTCGCCGATGGTTCTGATTCGTCAACGAAGTTTGACGCGGTTTGCTTAGACGGCCAAAGCCTCGCCGAATCCATGGGGTTTGATAAGGTTCTGGTTTGAATTGCCGGTTTCGCCAATTCTCTCAACGGCTGGTTCAAGCCAGTCATGACGTAGATATCGGAGGTCCAAGTGGGAAGTAATGTTTCACGTTTTTACTGATCATAACATAAAAGTGTACCATATGTTACAGAAACCCCATTACCCGATCGGTATAGCTGTGATCTTCGACAATATCCAGGGCTTCAGCTTCAACCTCATCCTCTGTTCCCCCCACGTCAAGCCACCCACCGGGACTTCAGTCCAATTCCTCTCAGCCAACCTCCTACCACCCACCTGCTTCACAAGGGCTTCACTGCTTCACAGACCCTCCTTTGTATCCGTACATACCGCTCTATCTCTGATTTTTCTTCAGGCCTTTTTAGTAGGGAAACGAGAGGATTTACCGAGAATCAACTCGCTAGATCCTCTGTTAATTGGCCATTGCTTACCCTCAGGGTCGTGTTATATTTTAGGGTTGACATCACATTTTCCACATGGCCACAAATATGGCCGTCGTGGAGGAGCCATTGTACCCGATAGCCATTTTAATCGACGAGCTTAAAAATGACGACATTCAGCTGCGCTTAAACTCGATAAGGCGGCTGAGCACGATCGCGAGGGCGCTCGGCGAGGACAGGACGCGGAAGGAGCTCATTCCGTTTCTTAACGAGAATAACGACGATGACGACGAAGTGCTGCTGGCCATGGCGGAAGAGCTCGGCTCCTTCATTCCCTGCGTCGGTGGAATCGATTTCGCCTACGTCATTCTCCCGCCGCTTGAAACGCTCTGCACCGTGGAGGAGACGGTTGTACGCGATAAGGCGGTGGAGTCGCTGTGCAAGATCGGCCAGCAGATGAAACCGAGAGACATTGTCGAGTACTTCGTCCCGCTCGTTCAGGTGCGCGTCGCGTCCGTTTCAGGGTCTTATATATTTTAGGTTTACCTCTATTTCAGGTTTGCGTCCAGGTTCAGTCATGGTTTTGATCTCCCAGTGTTGAGTACATTGTGGAACAAATTTGTGTGTCTCGACCGAGTTCTCGAGCATTTTATTGGAGTCGATGTTAATGATGTCAAGGTCGCTTTCGGGAACTCTCAAAAGCGACTTATTTGTGTCGCTCGACCGGACTGTATCGAGCATTTTATCGGAGTCGATGCTGATAATGTCAGGGGTGTCTTTCTCGTCAACGCAGCCGTCAGTATCGCAATCCGGAAAACTCTCTACTCTTGTCCCGCGGTCACAGTGCTTACTCTCCTGGCCTACTTTTCTCGCTGTTTATTACATTGTTTACTGGTTTCCCACCGTTCCCATCGGCAGCTGTTGCTGGCGTGGTATTGTCTTTTTCGCACCAGCGATTGCCGCGTCGCCGGATGCTGGGAAGCACGTAGAATGAAAGTTGTCATATTTTTTCGCAACTCGCAACAGACAGACTGGCTGTCCACGAGCGCGTCCTCCCGAGCGGTTCTGAGCCTGGGTGCGACGGAACAACTGACAGCTGCGCGCCGAGCTGAGCTTGACCGTACGAAGCCCGCAGGGTTGCGTTTTCATCTCCAGATCCCACTCCGTTCGTCCGACCTTTTCCTCCCAATCATACTCCCCACTTTTCCATCATCCCCTCCCCACCCCCTCCCTTACCCCCGCTCTTTTCCCCTCCCTTCCTCCTCCTTCTCCGCTCTTTTCGACCTTCATCACCCCCTTCCGTCCTTCCTCATCCGCATCAGCGTCTGGCGGCGGGCGACTGGTTCACGGCGCGCGTGTCGGCGTGCGGGCTGTTCCACATCGCGTACCCGGCGGCGACGGAGCAGCAGCGCGCCGAGCTGCGCACGCTGTACGGGCAGCTGAGCCACGACGACATGCCCATGGTGCGCCGCTCCGCCGCGCTCAACATGGGCAAGTTCGCCGCCACCGTCGAGCCGCAGTTCCTCAAAACCGACATCCTCGCCTTCTTTAAAGACCTCACCAACGACGGTGCGTGTAGGGGAGGGAGGGAAGGCTGTTGCAGGAATGGCTGGGATTGGGGGGTTGATGAGAAAGATGGGGGGAGTGGGGATGGGGAGATTGAAGGGGGGGAAGAGGGACTTTAGAAAAGGGTGTCGTGCCATGACCGTGCGTCTGAGCCACGACGATATTTCCATGGTGTGCCGCTCCGCCGCGCTTAACCCTTTATCCGTCCCCTCAAAACCGCTCTTCAAGGACTTTACTGAAGACGCCACCGTCCCGTGCACCCCATTGGTGCTTGCAGACCAGGACTCAGTGCGGTTGCTGGCGGTGGAGGGGTGTGCGGCGGTGGGCAAGCTGCTGGAGAAGGAGGAGTGCATATCCACCATCCTCCCCATCATCCTCTCCTTCGCCCAGGTCAGAATCCCGCTCGCCGCACCCCGCTCGTAGCTCCCCGATCCCCGCTCCTTGATCCTTGCTATTTGCTCCCTGCTACCCTGATGAACTTGTGGCTGCCGTCGCTTGCACTTCCACTCGCGTTTTCCCACTTGGGCCTACGCCCCTGCGTGTAGTTAGACCTTTCTCCGAGTCCTCTGCCCACTTCTGGGACCAATGCGCATGCCCACTTCTCTGCTGACGTGGCATGTGGCATCTGGTGTGTCACAACAGGACAAGTCGTGGCGTGTGCGCTACATGGTGGCCAATCAGCTGCACGAGCTTTGCGAGGCAGTGGGGCCTGACGTCGCACGGTATGTTCCAATGGTGCATGATACGTCTTGATTCGCACTATGCGCCCTGGTGCCGCACACATTTCCTGGTGCCGCACGCATTTCCTGGTGCTGCACGCATGTCCTGGTCTCGCGCGCATGTTCTGGTCTCGCACGCATGTCCTGGTCTCGCACGGTACGTTCCAAGGCAATCCCTTTCCCTCCTCCCCCTTCCCCTCATTCTGGTACCAGTGTGGAGCTGGTGTGGCGATGAGGCAAATGAAAATCTCACGAGTCCTATGAACCACCCCCCCCCCCCCCCTCGCCCCCCTGCTGGCGGTCCCCCACCCCTTAACTCTTTCCAACTCTCCCAGTGCGGAGCTGGTGCCAGCATTCATCGCGCTTCTGCGGGACAACGAGGCGGAGGTGCGGATTGCGGCAGCGGGCAAGGTGACCAAGATCTGCGCCATTGTGAAGCGCGAGGACGCATTCAACGCCATCCTGCCCTGCGTCAAGGTGAGAGTCAGTAGGGACCAACGGTGGCTCATGCCTCAGGACATTTCCACGGATGCGTCTCTGCATACACGGTTTTCGCCATCTCTGCTCCGCTCCTCTCTCGTTCCTCCTTCCTACCCGCCCTCTTCCCTCCTCTTTTCTACACCATCCTCAGGACCTATCCATGGATGCGCCACAGCACGTGCGGTCGGCGCTGGCGTCGGTGATCATGG